GACGTACCCAAGAGGTTCGTGCCTTTGGCTGGTGGTTTCTCACTCGGGTGGGAGAGGGGCTTCTGGCGGCTCCGGCAGCACTCAGGCTTGGTTTTACACCAACGGAGAGAGCGGTGATGATGATGGGCATATATCCGCCTTCCCAGTGCAGGATTATCCGGAGGATGGTTAAATTTAGGATTAAGGGGCTTTTTTTTTTTTTTTTCCCCTCCAAATGGGGAGAAAACATCCTTCCCAACAGCTTAAAAATGACTCGAAGTTTATGGAGGGAGGGGGTTGGGGGGAACCTGCACTGCTGTTGCCGGTTGTGCTGCCCTTTGGGTGCCTAGTGACTCCCCAGATTGTACCCAGGCTGGTAAACCTTACTTTGTCCTCCACTCATTTCACATCTCTCCCTTCACGGTGCAGGAAAGCTGACGCCGCTGTGGAGATGGATGAGATGGTGGCAGCCATGGTGCTGACGAGCCTCTCCTGCAGCCCCGTGGTGCAGAGCCCTCCCGCCAGCGAGAGTGGCATCCCCTGTGAGTGTGCGTTTAAAATATTCCTATATATTTGTTAAAAACCCAAACACCTGAAACAAAAGGAGATGTGGAGAAATGTGCTGTGCCCTTTGGATCTCAGTGCCAGGGCTCTTGCTCGCTGCAGAGGTGCTTTGCTGGGTACCAAATAGTTGCCAGGACAGAGATCGTGCTGGGCTGGAGGTGGCCAGGGAGCAGCACCAGGGTGACGGTGGAGCCCATGGGTGCTGATGCCAGCTGGGGCTGAGCAAGCCAGGACACCCCAGCAGTGTGGTGGGGGTAACCCTGCTCTCCGCAGCCATTCCCAGGGGACCGGGGAGCCCCGCGCAGGAGTCCCGGGCAGGGGAGCACCGCCCGGTCGCTCCTTTTTTTAGAGGCGGTTTCATTCCCGAGGAGTCAAGTGCAGCCGGAGGGATAAAAATAAATCGCCGGGAGCCGTGGGAAATGTGCGTGCCCTGGTGCTGGCTGCTCGCCGTGTGCCGGCTGTGCCCACGGGATTGTACTGATGCCAAGCAGGATGGGGAGGGGGGAAAAAAGGGATAAGCGACCAATAATTGGGAGCTGGCGCTGAGCAAAGGTGCAAAGGCTTCACCTTGCCAAGATTTTTTTTAAAAAAAAAAAAAAAAAAGGCAAACTGTTGCTGCGGTTTATCCAGCCTGAGGGCTGGTCTATGTCCTGGAGGGGTTTGGTTGGCCCCAAGTTGACGGTGTGTGTGTCTCCCCCCCCAGCCTCCCGGGTGCCGTGTGATCCCTGGAAGGAAAAACCTCCCCCCCCCCCCCCCGCGGGCAGCCCCAAGTACTCCAGTGAGGCCCTGAGCTCCCCCAGGGCAGACGACGGCTTCGAGACCGACTCCGACCCCTTTCTCCTCGACGAACCTGCTCCGCGCAAGAGAAAGGTACTGCTGCCGTGGCGGGGGTCCCAGCACCTACGGGGTGGCTCGAGCTGAGCCAACCTCCTATGGAGGGGACGCTGCCACCAGGCAGGGGGTGACATGGGCTGTCTCTCTGCCAGAATTCGGTGAAGGTGATGTACAAGTGCCTGTGGCCGAGCTGCGGCAAGGTCCTGCGCTCCATCGTCGGCATCAAGCGGCACGTCAAGACCCAGCACCTTGGGTAAGGCAAAGATTTCACCTCTTCAGTCCCTGAATGATCACCAAAGCCGCACACCCTGCTGTTGTGCAATTCGTAATTCCCCCGAAAATACAAAGTGGTGAGGGTGTGGGGATCAGCTTTGCTGTGCTCTCCTGCTGTGGCCCCGCTGCACCTCTCCCCCCAGCCTCAGTTTTCTTGTGCTCTTGTCCGTGTTTTCCGGTAAGTATTTTTCTCCTCCTCCTGTGCAAACGTGGATGCTCTGGGAAAGGCGAGGACAGAAGGGCCGTGGTGCAGTGGGCAGTGCAGGACTGCCATCCAGTGCCGGAGAAATGCACTGGGGAAAATAACAATAAAAAAAAGACTTCAGAGGCTGTTTCCTGCTGGGTGAACCGCAGGGCTTCGGTCACAGCTGTGCTAAATGAACTCGATTAGAAATGAGCAGGGGATTTTCAGTGGTGCCTGGTCAATGTGCCAGTGTTTTTAAAGGCCCTGGAAGAAGTATTGATCTTCCTTGGAAGTGTGAAGTGCTGCTGCAGAGGCAGTGGCTGTTGCTGATCGCAGCCGATGTGATGCTTTGGAGCCTGGGAGTGGAGTTTCTCTGCCCGTGAGGGTGAGATCACTCTCCCCCAGGGAAATCAGGGGCGGCTCACCTTGATGGAAATGGGGCCACCTTTTCACCCCTTTCCCTCTTTCCTCCCCGGCAGGGACAGCGCAGACTCTGACCAGCGGAAGCGGGAGGAAGATTTCTACTACACCGAAGTGCAGGTGAAGGAAGAGCCGGCGCCAGAGGCGGCCGCCGTTGCCCGCCCGCGTCTGCATCCGCCCCCATCATCATCCAGCAAGCCCTGGCAAAGCCTGAGGCACTGCTGGTGGAGCAGCCGGCACTGGAGCCCGCCCTGGCCAGCAGTGCCCTCAGCCAGTCAGCCCCCAGCTCCTTCTGGCACATCCAGGCTGATCATGCCTACCAGGTGAGCTGGTGGCATCTCCCGGGGACAGGTCACCTCCCAAAATCTTGCCGAAGGGCAGGTTGCGATCCGGTTTGCTCCACAGATCCCCGCTGCGGCGGGGACGTTCCATTGCCATGCCTGCAGCAGGGAGAGGCTTTGGTGCTGGTGCAGCACCATCCCCTGCCTGGCTGCCCTTCAGCCCTTGAGCAACCGGCTTCGTTAACGCCTGGTTAAGAGGCTCCCGTGCTGCTGCCGCAGCAGTTCCCGGGCTGGGGGGAGCTGCCGGCCTCCGCTCCCCTGCAGTTACCCTGTGCCTGGTATGCAACACGCCCTTCTGCCGGCAGATAACACGGGGCTGGAATGCAGCCGTGCCGGATCCTGCACGTCTCTGCTGCACGCTCGCTCGCCGAGGCACGGGCTTCTGAGGCACAGGGAACCGGGGACACCCCATGCGGTGACCACAGGGGCACCCTGGCTCGGTGGCCCTTATCCCTGCTTGAGAGCTGAGCGCTGTTTGGGAGCTGCAACCTAACACAGGGACAGGCTCTATAGATCCATAAGCTGCATGTATATCCATTCCCATCCCAGGGAACGGACACGACATCACCTAAAAGCAGAAAGCCTATGTAAATAGGTGCAAAAACATACACATGTAGACCAGGATGGTGCGTGTGGTTCAGTATTGCAACCGAAAGCAGTTGTGGGAGGGCAGAAGCTGCTGTGTCCTGGCGCAGGGTGACACAGCGTGTGCCTCCTGCCCCAGGTTAGCAGGATCTGGCACTGCAGGAGAGGTGGTGTGGGGATTCTCATCCCATCCCCAGTGCTCCCAGTTTGCGGGTACTCCAGGCTGGTGTTCTTGGGGAGGTGAATGCCTGTGGGGCCCCCGGGGCTAATGCTGACCCCTCTTTTCCCTTGCAGGCGTTGCCCTCGATCCAAATTCCAGTGTCCCCCCACATCTTCACCAGCATCAGCTGGGCCACTGCCACCTCAACTCTCCCGTCCCTGTCACCGGTGAGTCCTGCCTGCGTTTCCCCTTCACCCTTTCGGGGTGCAGGGTTGGGCTGGGAGCTGGGGGGACCTTGTCTCTGCTTTCTCCCTCCACACCTCAAATGTCCGGATCTGTGGCTGCACGGGAGGGGGACTGTGTTGTCCTGCCTGTCCTTTGACACCCAATTCCCTGCAGGTACGGAGCCGGTCGCTCAGCTTCAGCGAACCCCAGCCACCGACGCCGATGCTCAAGTCCCACCTGATCGTCGCCTCGCCACCCAGGGTGTCCATCGGTACCAGGTGAGGGTCCTGCCAACCAGCGGAGAGCAGAGGTGGAGCCCGTCAGAAAAATGGGTGCCCTCCTGCATCTCCGCTGAGATGCATTGGAACGATGCTTGGCCGTGGTAATGGGGCCGTACCCTTAGATGTGCGACCCAAAATTCTGCAACAAGTAGGTGAGTGTTATTTCTTCTCTTCCCCCTTTCGCAGGAAAGTCCGCGGTGAAGCCAAAAAGTGCCGTAAGGTGTATGGCATCGAGCACCGGGACCAGTGGTGCACGGCCTGCCGGTGGAAAAAAGCCTGCCAGCGCTTCCTGGACTGAGCGCAGCACCACGGTGCCGCGTCCCTCCCCTGCTCCTGCCCAGGGAGCACCGGAGTCCCTCACTGCTGCAACCAGGGACCTTGGAGGTACCTCCTGTCACCCCAGAAGACACCTCCAGAGCTGCGTGTAAATTCCTCCTTCTGTATATTGTACATCTGCTGGGTTTGCTCTTTTTTTTTTTTCTTTTTTAAAAAAACTTTTTCCAACTTTTTTTTTTTTTTTTAAAAAAACCTGAAGAATATCTCCCTTTGTATGGTAAAAACTGGGGCTGGGAGGGAAGGAAGCCGGTTCCTCGGGGTTTCAGGGGAGATTGTAGGCCATCCTGGGGACCAAAGAGCTTCCTGCATTTCCCAGATCTGCCCGAACTGTCACAGCGTGGCCGGGGTGAGGCGTCGAGGCAGCTTCCCGCGTCCTTTGACTACCTAGAAAGTGCAAATCCCTTGTATCCTTCAAGGGAGGGGGGTCTGCGACAATTATAGCTTTAAAAAAGAAATGCTGTTGGGTTGCTGCAAGTGGAGTTGGAGGTTTCTCTCCCCACGGCGATGCGGTCTTTGCTCGTGTTGCGTCACGCCGGTAGCTCGAGCCTGCACGTGCCTCCAGTTGGTTCCAGCATGTTGGTTTTGGAGGCATTTGGGAGGAAAAACTCATCCAAAATACTTTAATCAGGAAAACTGAGAATTTTTAAGGCAAAACCTGGCGTTCCTGCTCGTTTTGGGTTTCGTAAGTCTGCTTAGCTCCCTGAAAACCGATGTTGTGGCCCTCGCCGTGTCTTTCAAAACGAGGCTGAGCAATTTTATTTTTTTCTATTTAATGATTCCACCAGTAAAGGCAGCTGGGAGGACTGGGAAGGGCTTTCCCTCAGCATCACCACGTGGCCCCAATTCAGCAACCAGCTTCAATATTTGCTTTTGAATCCCATTGGCCCTGGTGGGAGTCACTTTTCTGACTTCCATCCTTTAAAATACCTATTTACCCAACCCCAACTGCTGCTGGTTTCCTGTCACTGTCACGGCGGTCCCCACTGACACCACCATCACTGGTGGGGCGTTGCATTCTGCGGCGGGCCGGCAGGCGTGCGGCCGGGGAGCCGGATTGCCCCGTCGGTGTTCTCACCGGGGCAGGCAGCCATTTGGCTTTGGGGTTTTTTTTGTTGGTTGGTTTTTTGGTTTTTTTTTTTCCCTGCGTTTTTGATAATCATAACCCACAGCCACCGAGCTGAGAGCGATCCCTGCACACGGCTTGAGCCTGGGGTGGTTTTAAGGACCCTGCGCCGAGACTCGACTTCCCTTATAAAAGCAAATCGAGCGGCTGGGCGAGTCCAATAATTGCTCCCGAATCGCCGTGAGCTCCACTGCTGAAGGGACCAGGTGGGCAGGAGAAGCGGGTTGAGATACGTATACACGTGCTGCTGGTGCTCGTCGATGCGTCTGGGCCGCTGTTTTGTTGTTGCTTGTTTGTAATTTTGTACATCTAAACAGTGTATCGTCCCGCAACCTGATCCTCTCTCCGGTATCCGACTGGCGGATGCAAAATTTGGCCACTGGAAAGCAGGAGCAGGGTGCGACCCCACGGGGTTACATCCCTAGGTGGGTTTGGGCAGGTCGGGCTCAAATCCCAGGGAAGAGAAGAGGTTTTGCTCCTTAAAAGCCTCTTGCTCAGGCTCCCATCCCTGCTGGAGCGCGGCATTAGGAGCAAAACATCGGGAAAAGCCTTTTTCCTTTCCCGCCGGCATCGGAGACTCCACAGGTTCCCAGGTTGAGCGTTTTATTGCAAGAATGACTTCCCAGAGCCTGTGGCAGGTTGGTCCTCTGCCCCTGCAGCCCTGGCAACAATTAATTGCGTGGTGGGGTTGTTGCACTACTCAAAAATAGGTATTTTTTTAAAATAAAAAAGCCCCCCTGCCTTTGCTGCTGCCTGCCCTCTGGCGTTCGGATGGCCGAGCCGGCGTTGCCCATCCTGCGTGTTTATCCTTTTGGGGAAGGGCCCTGCAGTGCTGGGGTGCGGGCAGGTTTTCGGTGATGCCGGAGATGCTAGTGGCTCTCTGGGAGTGAGCCAGCATTTTGGGAAGTTTGCGCCTTGCTGTATTTTCAATTTTCCAAATATTTTTTTTAAAAAACAGGGCTCAAAGCAGCACCTGGAGCATGGAAGGAAAAAAAAAAAAAAAAAAAATTGGTGAATTTGTGCTTCCCTCAGACCTTGTGCCTTTGCCCCTGCGACTCAGAGAGACCCAGGCGGGACCAGAGATTTTACTTCTTGCTTTTTATGCCCTTTCCGCCCCAAACGGCGTCGGGCAGAGCCGGATCCGTGACGGCACTGACCGGACGTGACTTTTTTTCCTGCGGCTCTCAGCAAAATCACTCAGGAAATGTCAAACCAAGCCATCCCTGTTGGCGTCGGGGTACGGCATCACCCTGGCCCTGGGGGGGGTTCATACCTCCCAAAAACTGGGGTGTAGTGTCAGGTGCCCCCAGCCCTCCCCAGCGCAGGTCTGCCTCGGAGGGCAGGTTTTTCACTGGCAGGAGCTCGGGTGTCCGGGGCAGGGAAAAAGCAAAAATAACTTCCTGCTTTTCTGTTAAAGATGCTTTTTTTAAAAAAAAAATATATATATATATACATATATATAAAAAAAAGGAAGAAAAAGGTGTCGATGGCTTTGGAACAAGCAGGTCTGCATGGCATGCAGCAACCCTGATGGAGATGGGGGGGGCTGGTGGGACCCCCCCCCCCAGCAAGTCAAATCTGGGGGCCGCTGCCTCTTGGCCCTTGCGGTGCCTCCTCTTCCTCCTCCTCCCGAAGCGCATAGCACTTACTGCCCGGCGGGGACACCTCTGCCTGGGGGCGTTTTGTGGCGCGGTGTTGTTATTGGGGGGGTGTGGGGGGAGTAGGAGGTGCCTACGGCCGCTTTTCCCAGGCTTTTGCGGTACGGACGTAACCGGACAAAATTGTCCTTGTGCTCTTTTCTGTTGGCTTTTGATATTTTTTTTATTTTTAATGGAGGCCCTGGTGCAGGGTGGGTTCTTCTGTTGTTTTCTTCCATCCGGTTTGGGAGTATTTTGGAATTTTTTACGCTTTTAAAACAGGAAAACCTCCTCGTACTTTTGCAGCGATGGCAGCAGGCTTCCACCGGTGTCTGTCGGGTTGGTCGGCATTGGATATATACATTTATTTTTTTTGTCCTTTCCCTGTTACTTCCCTTTCCTATTATTTTTTAACTCGCTTCCAGCCACCTCCCGACCATTGGACTTTTCCTCCCGACCCTTGAGTCTCGCTGGTCTCAAGAAAACTCCTCTTCAGCCCCAACCGCGGGTACCCCCGGCCTCTAAATCCAGCCTGGAGAGCTTTCCCTCATCCATCTGGCTGTCTCCCGGAGCATGTATATGTATGTATATAGGAACCTCTTAATTGGGCACTAATTAATTGGAGGCTGCTCCCCGCTCCCCGGCCC